AGCCTTTCCACGCCAAGGCCAGCAGCTCTCGCTTCCTGGAGGTATGATGCAACCCGGGGAACGAACAACCAGCACGGGGACGACTGCTGATCTTTTCTTCTTAATCAGAGGAAAGGAAAGAGGGCACACTCACCATGAGGCCATGTTGTCATCACTTCATGCTTTCCACTCATCTGTGAAGAGAAAAAAAAAAATCCCTCAGAAAGGACACCAGAGTGTGGATCACAACGCCCAGACACGACTCATCTTTGCTCCGTACATCCTTCCCCGTTTCATCTCCGCTTCCTCTTAGCCGTTTCTTTCCTGTCCATTACAGCACATCCTGCCTCTGCTGTTTTTGTGCTGCCCTCGTCTTTGTCTCCTTTCCTTTTTCCCCCTCCTCTCGGCCTCCCTCTACATGGCCATTCTCAAATTTTCCACCTCCTCTCTCTTCTCTCTCTGTTATTTTTATTCTGGATTCCTTTTCTCTGTGATGAACTAAATGGACCAGGCCTCTCCCCCCCTCCCACCTCCTTTTTCCGTGGACTTACAGTTGTGAGACATGGCTGCGGTTTATATGTATTTTTTTAGCATTGATGTGGTCATTATAATTAATGTTAATATTATCGAAGAACTTTAACAAGTGGAGAAGAGTTGGAGTGTTGCACAGGAGCAGCAACACAGCCCAGAGTCATCCCTCTTCTTCAGTCTCCCTGCTTCATCCCCTCTTCCCCCCGATGGCTCCCCCTGGTGCTCCTGCCCTCTTACTACACTCCCAGTGCGCCCTCCCCCTCCTCCTCACCTTTACCCCTCCGTCTTCTGTTCATCTGCTGTCCTTACCCAACAGATAACTATGTATTTTATTTAGAAAAGTTTTATTCTTTGCATATACAGAAATGATGCATTAAAATTGTTGAGCTGCCTCCCCTCCCCACCAGTGTCGGAGTCGGACGGGGTCGCTTTTATTTGTATATATGTGTACACATGTATTTGCGGTATCATGAGTTTGTATTTGTGTTTGAGAGCATGTTGAAGAGGGCGGTAAACTGATGTCGAACAGCAAGTCTGACTTCACTCGGATTGGCGACGCGTGGATCCAGCTTTGTGCAATAGAGAAACCCCGGAGAACTTCTGAACGTCTCACTGGACGACAGTTTCCCGCTCTGATCTTAAAAGTGCGTGCGTGCGTGCGTGAGTGCAGAAACACATGAGCAAGCGGTTCTTTTACTCTGTTTTAATTTGAACTCATGTTTAAAATGACGACAATAGTCAGGTTTGCATTGAGCTGTGTGTTTTGAATCAAAGGGTGTCAAGCACATGAAACATGTAAACGGTTTATCTTGTAAAAACGGGGAAAAAAAAAATATATGAGAAAAAAAAATGTAGAAACTCCAGAGGTCATTTTTCTTTTCAGTTTTCTGCAGACAGCAGAAATGTAAACAGTGTTTTTGTTTTGTTTTGTTTTGTTTTTTTTTCTTCCAAATAAATGAATGTTAAATAAGTTTTCCAGTCTTTTATTTTACTCTGCGGCCGCCTCGCGCATCGCTCTGGGTGTTGGGACTGTCGGCACTGCAGCTTTAACTTATCTATAATTGCTGGGGTTTTGCAGGTGCAGATCGGGAAACGCATCTGAATTTTGTAAATGTCAGTGTTTAACCTCAGCCGATGAAGACCTGACTATTGTCAGAGTTTAAACTAAGCTTTGTTTTTATGAAGATAAACGGGTTTGGAAGATATGCATTGAGCAGATGGATGTTTTGGTCCAGATAATGCTATCTGGGGAGTTGCTGAAGGGTGTGTTTGTGTTCACTTGATTTAATCATAAAGTTTGTTTGGACCTGTGGAAGAGAGTTATGACTCAGCCATGCCCCTCAGAGATCAAACATAATTAACCCTGGATGTTTTCCTGCTTTTATTTGGTATCTTTTTTTTTTTTTTTATAAACCACCTTCAGTCTTGCTTTTCATTAAATATCTTTGTGCTGGAAACCGAATAAAAGGCGGAAGTCTGCTGTGTTGGCTGCAGTCGATTGCAGTCTCTGGTAAAGATGTTTTACAAAGTTTAAGGTAAATCTTTCTGTTGCTGTAATCTTTAACATTTACAGCAGATAAACCTTTAATTTGACTAGTTTAATTTCATCCTCAATCACCTCTTGCACAATTATTGGCATTGTCTCTGCTAGTACCATTTTATGCACACAGGATTCTGGTTTTCTGTCACCGCTCAGAAGGTTAGCATAGTTTCTCTACATCATCCAGATCTTGGAAATATTTCCAATAATAATTAAAAAAAAGGGTACATTAAATTATTTATGAACCATAACTTGATTTGATCATGTTTCTCAGCTAAAGACCATCTGATTCTTTTTTTTTTTTTTTTAATCAGTGATGAAATGAGTTATGATGTGCGCTCTAACAAGGATCCCCAGGGTTTTAATTACAGAAGTGGACCCACAGCATCACAGATCCACTACCATGCCTATAAGTGAGCATGGAGTGATCTTCCAACTATCACTTAATTCACACCAAGCCCATCTCATCACACCATAAGTCAACAATTATTTTTGTGATGTTCTGGAATCTCTCCCAAACGGCTAGCTCGCGTAATAACTTGTTTCTGTGGAGACCCCACCCTCGGCTACATTTCTCTCGCATAAAGCTTTTGAGGTTTTATTTTACTTACCTGGAAGAAATAAGCCTCTGTGTCACATTATATTTATTCTAAAGGTAAGTTCCTAGAGATGCTGATTAGAGTTAAAACGGAATGATTTTTTTTATTATTTTCTAATTTGTTAAATCGATTCAGTTACATTTTTAATAACTTAATGTGACATCAGAAAACAAATCTCAACAATGGATTACTTTCCTACTGAACCGGTGCACTCAAAATTTGGATTTCTTAAAGGTTTTCCGTTGATTTAAAAGTTGGATTTACCTCAAGGTTTTCCATAAATCTTTACCAGTGTTGCCAGTAAGTGTGGTTGGCGCTGAATGGATAAATCTTCATTTTTATGTTATTTTCTGTGTCTGTGCACGTTAAGTGTGCAGCTGTACAGTGCATCATTTCCCCAGACGAGGGCTACTGCAGGCGTGAGCCCCGGTACTGAGCCTGTGGGTGTTCATCAGCGGAGGAACAGACGCTGCAGGTGGGAGAAACTTTTTACCAGTCAGCTTTGACTTCCTGCGTAGAGACTGAAGATTAAGGCGTCACGTTTTGGACGCTGTGCAAAGCGCTGCCTCACTTATGAACGTGGTGAGAAAATATAGAGATTCATATGATTTATATATACATATATAAATACCAGATGATGATCATGTTGATAATGTTTTTTATAGAGAATTTTTTTGTTTGTTTTTTTAGCCCTTGATTTGTATTTGTTTTCCTTTAAAACTTGAGTTGAGTTTCTTTCCGCCCTGCAGCCGAGGACTCGATCTCCATTTTCACCCGAATTTTAAGAAGTAGATTCTGTGTAGAAGAAAGGCGAATAAACTAAATCAAGAACTGTGTAGTGTACCATGAATCCATGTCCTCCTCATTCAGGATTCTGCTGTAAATAAACCACTGAACTGTAAAAGCAGTGTGTCTCTTTCTTTGAGTTTATGAAGGAGGTTTAAATCTCCAGTGGTTGACTCTAATATCCCTGTGCAGACGATGCAAATCCCTGAGAAATGTGTTGTTATCCATTCAACGTACTTTGGGGAAATGGCTTTTGCAGTACAGTTATAAATTATTAATTAAAAAGCATATTAAAATATGAACATTCATATTTTAGATTTTCCCCTTAGTTTACATGTAAATTGTACTTTGGAGTTTACACATATGTGTGTCAGCTTTACTCATTTCTTTTTAAACAAAAGGTTTAAAATGTATTTTCTACTCTAGTTTTTGCTTTTTTTCTGTTTCTTTGTCTGTTTGAATTTCCTCTAATTAATGTTAAGCACTTTGAAATTCCTTGTTGCTGAAAATGTGGTGTCTAAATGAAATTACCTTACCTTATCTTAAAGTTGCCTTTTTTCTCTTAATCTGGCTGCAGTGTTTTCTCTTAACTGTAGCAAAGGGGGGAATATATTGCAATTCCAGCTTCTACCACCAGATGGCAGCAAAACATAAACGTATAAAAACCATTAAACCGCGGATTTTATCGAGGATTTTGCAGGGATCGATGTTACTTTAGGTTTTCAGACAAGGCTTTACAGTTCTCCTTTCTGCCTATCTTGGGAACATTTCCTTGCTTTCAAAGCTAACATGCACCTAAAGCTAAAGAAGTGGACGGCTTATCGTTAGCCCCCCTTGTAAGATAAGCAAAACTGCAGAATCTGGAGGAATTAGAGAAAGGAAATCAGCCCTTGATGGAGCAGTTTAGCTGAAATGAAAGGCGTGCGTTCATCACAGACAGGTAATTGGTTCCTGCAGGGCATCGGGTTGATATCTCATGAGCCTTGATTGGAAAATGTATGCCTCAATAGCACAGCCAAGACGCTGAGTCAGGAGTTTAGATGGGTTTGCAGTGAATGAAGAATTGTGTCATTTTTTTTCTTTTCTTTTTTTTGTGCACAAGATTCTCGCTGCATCAACCAATCAGTTTCATGAAAACATGCCTCATTTTTACAGGAACCTGGTTCTGAGTTCACCATTCAGTTGGTCCCGATTGATTAAAGACAATCATCAAACTGTCAGACAAATGGGCAGCTTGACCTGGTGAGTGACCAGCACACAGATGGCGGGATGAAGAAGCTGATGTGGGGGATGAAGAGTGAGAGGAGGAGGATAGAGTGGGTGAGGGGAAGGTTAGGGAAGGTCGGTGAGGTCAAGGCGGGCAGAGTCCACCCCTCTGCACCTATTGGCCGGACAGCTTGATGATTCCCGTTCAGCTTTGAAGCTTTGAAGTGGACAGAATTCCACCACGACCATGGGGATTGTAGCAGGTCATTTGTGAGAAATTTTTGGCGATGTGGTCCTAAATCTGAGCTTGCCTGCTGTTTTTTTTCTTTTAGGAATGTGATTGAGGCTGATTGATCCCTAAAATTAGGGAAAGGTCAAACACAGTTAGCCAGTAAATGTGGATTACAAATTATGCAAGAGGAAGTTTAGACTTTTTTTTTTTTTTAAAGGGAATGAGCACTTTGAAGAGATTAATTTTCTCACACTTGTCCTGATTCCCGGGCCTCTCCTACAGGCTCTCTTCTCTTGATTTCACAGATTTTCTGCAGGAGTCTGGAGACTGAGATGTGTGGTGAAGCAATTCCATGTTTTGTTAATCATTATTCTTGAATGAAACCCAATGACCAGAAGAGTCTTCCTGATTTAAATGTCCTGTTATTTCAGAAAGGTCCCACAGCATCACAGATCCTCTGCCATACTTAATATAGAGCATGCTGTGCTTTTCCAAGTCATCAGATATCTTTTCGACCTTCTGTTATGACATTTGTTGATTTCGCTTTACGTTTTGG